TCATGTCAAGGACATCGTTTAAGATGCTTTCAATGGTTTCAGGTGGATTTTCCTGTTCCCCTTCTTCATGGCTTACCACCATTACTTCGAACTGCTCATCGGGACTTGACGGCTCAATTGGGGGGAGATCCAGGCCTCTTAGTTCCTCGATTCGGGATATCAATCAGAAGTGGTTGAGCCAGTCCTATCTGGGCCTAAGATTGCCTTGCAACTAGTGTGAGTATGGGCTCTTCGTGCGACGGTCGCCTCGCTTGCTTGTGTTGAGGGAGTGAGTTGGTTTTCCAGAGAGAAGACTGTGCAGTCGTATTTTGTGGCCCTGGCTTTCACGACTGAGGGGCTGGCCAACCAGTCATCTTCGTGCGTCGCCTACCCTGAGGCCTACCCTGAGGCGGATCGAGTGAGTACATCGCGGGTGGAGTTGAGAGAACCGTGCTTGCGGGGAACTTCTTTGAGAGCCAAACGGCGGGTGGCATTTGGCCATTGGTTTGGACCTCTGACATGTCCTTCTTCCTATTGATGGGGTCCACCAATCGGCAAGGAAGGGCTGCAGGGAGCCCACGCCTAGGTTTACGGCTGACAATGTGTCAGTCATGAGGACTTGGGGGAGTGACTGCGGTGCAGCCCTTGGAGTTAACCTTAGTGGGTTCTCTCTATATATGGGTGGAGGAAGGAATAGGGGAATGTATGCCCACACTCCGAGTTATCCTAGGTTGAACTAGAATAGCAAGACCAGCTAACCCACTTGTGGAGGAGTGAGTCATTGATATAGGGATGAGAAAGTCCCCGATTTGGAGGAGATAAGAAGAGTGTGAATTCATTAAAATTTTAGAAAAAGAGGAGAGGAGGGTTTTCGTCTGAAAACAGTCCGAGCCAACTACAGGGTGGCATGTCCCCAGTGGAGTCGTCAGTTGGTCGGGGCCTGATTTTCTCGTATGTCAAGAAAATCCTCTCTCAAACAACAGCAGAAGGCCCGCGCACATGACGTGAGCGCGCGTGCTTTCTTGAACGTGGATAGGCTACCAACAAAGAGAGAGATTTTACTACAAAATTTACTCACCTCATCTTTGCGGGTTCGTGGGACACGTCCAGGTGGCTCGCCCTCTTAGATCAGTCACGAAAGCCCTCCGGCTGTTCACCAGCACGGTTTGGTCAGGGACTCTCTTCAGAGGCTATTGTATTTCTTCTCCTTTCTCACATTCAGAATTTCAATGGGTGTCTTAGTTCTTCTCTCCTAGGTTGACTCTCTTCCAGCGATATTCTTTCAAATGATTGGACAGACGAGTGATGGGTTTCTTTGGTTTGGTCAGACTATGAGGGAAGGGAGGGGTCAGCGATAGCGCATGTGGTTTGGCCCCTGCACGGTCTTGCACAAGTGTGGGATTACGTATTTGGGAGAAGGAAGAGAAATTTCCTAAAACGTTTGGTATTTTCAAGAGAAGGGAGGTGTGTGCCCGGAGGGTCGGGGGTATTTCTGTCACTTGGAAAAAATTTCTCTCTCCTCTCCATGGGACCCTAGGGTTAAGAGAACAGACAAGCAAAAGCAAGTGTGATGTCTCTTCTTTATTGAATTGTAATCCCCCTTTTACAATTGACTTAAGCTTGTTTATATAAAGTTCTCACCAAACAGGGGTGGATACTTGAAAACTAAGCCTAACTACAATTAAAAGTAATTAAAATAAAGTCCCGAAATTGGGTACAATGGCCAAGGTGCCCTTAAATTCTTTTGTGCAAATGACAGACTCATCCTTTCCTGAGGAGGCCGCCGCCATTGTCAAACTTCGAGAGCTCTTTTCTGAGTACTTGCAACGTGAGTTCGATCGGTGTATTGTTATATTCTTGATGTTCATTTTCTTGTCATCATTTTGATCTCTTTTTATCATGTTGTGGCAATCTATTTCATGAAGGAAGGAGTCTGGTTGGTTTTATGAACTCTTCGGTGGATTCTTTTCAGATCTGTGATGTCCCTATGCTTACTGTGAGCCTTGGGAAGATCTTTTTCAGTATTCTTGCAATAGCTTTAGTTTCCTTTTTTGCCTTTGCTGTGTGATATTCTTCGGGCTTTCAAGAGATCACCGAAAAAGGGATTCCGGCGATCGGGGATTTTGTTTTCTTTTGCGGCCTTGGGTTTTGTGCCTTTTCTATTTTGTTTTAGACGCCGCTTGTCGTGTCTGACCTGGACTTCTTTCTGGAGGGTCCTTTTGGTCTTAGTTCCCACAAGGTCAAGTTCTCCATGAGGAGCAAGATGTCCTTCTAAGGATTCCAATGTTCATGAATTCAAGGTGTCTGTCTCCCTTCACAGGGCAGACTTGGTTTCACATTCGCGCATTTGGAGAATGGTGTCGTTGAGGCTTCGCCGGCGTCTGAGGCTTCGGCCACACTTTTGCTGCGGAGGAGGGGTCGCGAGCTCATCAAGGAGTGGTCGGTAATCTCCATAGCCATCGACTGGTTCGGTGAAGTCGTACGGCGAAAGCATGCCTCTGCCCTACTTCGTGATGGTTCGAGGCTTAGCACTACTGGGTTGACCCGTTTGAGCCCGGGCCCACTTCTTGTTGGAAGATGATGATAGCAGTTGTTTAGCGTATCTACCCAGTTCCTATGTTCACCGTGGTGGCATAATTCTTTATCTTTTGGGCACGCAGGTGCTTTTCCTTTGTCATTCTCATTCGAGGCTTCTTCTCAGCTACTACCCTGCGCAACCTTGTGTTTGTGTGTCATTGTGACTAGGTCGTAACCGGCTCTCTCCTTTATTTTTTAAGGGACTAAGGTACATCAAAAATGATGTATAACACTCAGACCTTTTTCTTGAGGTAAAAGGGGCTTTTTATAAGCGAAGTGAGTTAAATGACAGCCTGTATCTAGTTTTGTGCGATTTTTTGGGTCTTCAGAGCTTTGGCACCATTTGGACTGCCACTGGCACTAGTTAGAATGGCGCCATGTCATTAATGTTGCAATAATGACAGTTTATAAATATTAATTGCTCATTAACGCGGCTTCTATACAACCTATCATACCCGGCGCCAATGGCAATGGCACTGACAGCATTCCCATTGCCGCCAAGCACTGTTCAGAACACATGTCGTGCTCTGATAGCTCTGATTTGATCAATCGTAGTTTGAAATTGTATCGACTAGCTTCAGCGACATTCCGACTGTCGCAGTTGTCCAACCGTCTTGGTTGTACCTCCATCTAATCGACCAATAAAAAATCGACAACCTCGCTCTGTACTGACAACTAACATGTCAGTACGGGCCTGCCGCGACAACAGCTACGGACTGACATGTAGCCCGTCACTTCATTCACATCGGCCAGGTTGTGTCCTACCTGGTGAAGGTCTTGGGACTTGGCACTGGCGGCATTGGCTCTACCGTCAAGCAACTTGATCATGTTGTAGCTTGAAAGTGGATCCCGTTGTAGCTGGGAACTCGAGGTCCGGTACTTGTCGCCAATAGGAACATCTTGATCATGTTGTAGCTTGAAAGTGGATCCCATTGTAGCTGGAAACTCAGGGTCCGGTACTTGGTGCCAATAGGAATGGCGTTGGTGCCAATGGGAATGGCGTCAAGCCTTTGGTGTCCCGAGTTGCCCATGTTGTGACTTCGGTGTTTCTGGTACCTTGCTGTCTGACTTTTGGTAGGGCTTTGGTACCCATTAAGGTAACATCATAACATTTCCTGTCGAATACTTCATAGTCAGACCGCTTTGGGTCTACCTCGCCTTATTCAACCTCTTGACGCCCTCGGTCCCACTTGAGCAATAAAGGTTTTGTGGAGACTGGTTTACGGAAAAGGGGTACTTGTGGGGTAAATGGTTTAAAATACCCGGGTAGTCTACCTGGGACATTTCGACCTATCCATAACCTTTCCAGTCAAGATCGGGGTGCTTACAAGTCTACAATAGGCACAAAGTAGCAAAGCATACAAAATTTGCATTCTTTGCTCAAATCATGCGATATTAGAAGTGAACCATATAACCTCAAGCCACTAAATGATTTGAAACGTACTTTGTAAAACTCCAATAATTCGTCATATTTGGTTTGAAAAAAAGCATGTTTTTTATTTCTAGCAAGGGGTCAAGCAAATCTCCATGTGGTTTGATAAAATGCATGTGCGTTTTCATGTTTAGACAAATAAGGAATCAGGTAAAGTTCTAATAACATTATCATATTATTCAACAAAACAAAACCATAATATTGTAGTACACTTGTATTTTAGAGCCTGTTTGGAGCCAAAAAAGATGTGCTCCCATTAATGATAGGGAAGCTGGCATGTAAAACATATAAATCACCAGATATTCTAGTCCCAACTAGCACAATACCGGCTTTAATGGCATGACACTGGTTCATAACTACTTTCTGTTGATGAGATTGAACAATGGATTTTCTAAGTTAGCATTCAACAAAGAAAAGAACAACTGAAAATTGGACTGTGGATTTCAGAACTGAGCACCACAAACAAAACTCGTAGGTGGTGTGTTGTATATTTGACATTTTCCCGGCCCAAACAATACTAGTAGCACGTATCATAAATTTTCCGTTTTAGGATGACAAAACCGAGACTTTCTATATGTGTCACACACAAAAATACATGCCTGCCTACACTTCAGGGCTTCTATAGGTTGATAGTTTGAGAGCCAACACACTTATAAGGTGGTAGTGTGCTTCTCAGGGTACACGCTATAGATCAACATTGTGTTGGATGGTAGATTGCCTTTGGAGGATGGCTAGAGTATTCATTTTCCCTAGGTGGAATGGTGTCATTTGACTTTACAAAATGTTCAATAGTTTTTGCTCTGTGTTATATTTATGTATATGTCACCCTTAAATTTTCAAATTATACATGAGGTATGCATGAGTTATTGTGAATAATTGTCCTGTTGTTTTCAGATTTTTTCCCAAATCGAAGATTGGTCTTTGTCGAAACCAGAGTTCCCATGGGAAGAAAATGTGCTACATCCCAGCTTATTGTGTCTTAAAGTATCAAATGACATCCTCCGGTCGTCAGTTAGTACCATTTCGCCCAAAAAATATAATGGAAGAAATTGAGCAAGTTGAGAATGGCCAGCATAGCATAGAAAAGCTCAAGATGGCCAGCATTGAGATTCTGGGATGCGATCCACTCCCCAGTTGGTAGCCACGAGCCAATAAGGTTGGAAAGGGAGACTAGCACAGAGCTGAGGAAGTAGCCGAGAGCGGAGGAGCACCATGACATTGTGGTGCAGAGGCTCCTCATATGCACAGGTGCTTCCTGATAGAAGAATTCGAGCATTCCTGCTAAGGTGAACATATCTGAAATGCCCAATAACAAAAATTGACATCCTAGCCACAATACCGACATTGGCACTAGGCCCTGAGATGCATCAACTATGCCTGCAGCCTTAGCAGCTGCCTTGCGCTTGACCTCCACAATTGCTGCCACCGCCATAGAGAAAGAGGCTAGTCCTAGGCCAACACCTATCCTTTGCAAAGGGGATAGCCGAGATCCAAGGATTCGATGAAAAAAAGGGACAGCAATGAGCATGAATATTATAGGTATAGCGTAGAGGGATGCTACAGGAAATTTGAAATTGTGGGTGATTCTTGTGTCCATTGTTTTGCCTTGTTCCACTGATAGAGTTTGGAGCTGGGCGAGGCAGCAGTTTAAGGCAATGGTGCACAAGAAAATTGGTATGAGTCTCAGGAATTTCTTTGTCTCCTCCACTTGCTGCATGTTGCAACCCCTCAGAGCTGCCTTGTCTAAAACCCTGCATAATAAGTTCCAAATCAGTTATTCAAATTAACCTATTTCATCATGCCATATGCAAAGAAAATAGCCTACATGCTTCTCGTGCTTTAACATGCCACACTTATGTATGTTTTTCCAAGGAAAGTGAATAACAGTCGTGCTGTAACAGAGAGGCCCATTCTGTGTTGCCTTATTATTTAGGGTATCAGATATCAATATTTGATCGATGGAAATATATATTTGGGCTAAGAAAAGAAATCAACATCCAATCAATATAACATAATGGAGAAGTGGATATTGCCTGAAGTGATTCCGAGACTTCGGATCCAAATCATTCCTGCATTCTTCAAGCGCGAACGAGCAGTTCCGATTCTGATATGCCAACACCAACACCTGACATCCAATCAGCAAACACTTTCTTGTTATTAAATAAACACTTAATCCTCCTCTACTCATAGACAATAAAGAAAACCATCCTTATATCCACTGTCTACACTAGTTGGGGTAGTGGGTCACCCTATAAAACATGATAGGGTTTTTTCTGATGAAAAAAGGAAAACTAAATGCATGTTTAACTAAGAATAAAAAAAGCGAAAACCAAGCACACGTCTAGAAACAAAGAAGAAAAAAGCAAGGAATTAACCCAAAAGACCTAGTGAGTAACTCAATTTGTAAGTACATGCCTAAATAATGTGCATATTTAGCAGCAGAAAAAATAATTCCCTCTAACCATCCTTGACTGAGACATAAATCTAGGAAAGAGAAGAAGACTCGCAGTAAAGGGGAATGAGAGTCCCACTTGAAATATTCTGGTGAAGGGGCTTCCTCCTGGTCGCTTGTGCCTATAAAAGGGCAAACCCGAAGAGAAGAGGAGCAGGGCAAGGCAGAGGGCGGCTGTGGCAATAGCAAAACCCCACTCCCAACCACGGTTTTCTTGCACCCACACCACAACAGTCACAGCAACCAAGCCCCCGGCACACAATGAGAAGAAGAAGGAGTTGAAATACGTGGACACTTGAAGCTCATTGTGCTCGAACTGATCGGCACCATGTGCTGGGAGTGCTGCCTTCACTCCGCCGGCCCCCACTGCCATCGTATACAGTCCCACATACAGCATTGCTGTGTGCCCAACCGATGGCTTCCTTCCATTATTCCCTGGATGCAGCGAATTCACGTCGTTTTGCACCATCAACAGAACCAACCCCTGCTCTCACAAGCACGTCTCACCAAACTATTATTTCTTGAAGTCGAAATATTGTGTTCATTGTATTTGGTAAATTCAATCTGTACCAAATATTGGGCAAGAAATTCTGGTGCATGGGAATAAGGAAGGATGCATGAAAAGGAATGTAATGCATATGGTAAAGAGGAAGGGTGTCCTTGTATTAACAAAGATAAAAGGTGCTGACTGACCTTAATTATAGTTAATCTGCACCATCCGTCTTTGCAAACAGTTGAAACCCCATACCACGTACCATAGATATGATTGTTATACTTTTCCTACTTGTAAAGTTTCTATTCTATGAATGGGTACACAAGTAGTTGTAAGTGAAGGCATTAGTACCACTAATTCAGTTGTACCAAAAAGCATGACACTCCAAAACCTGGTGAGGAAGGAGTCTGAGACAAAACCACCAAACAGAGAAAGAAGATACGTAATGGCCATGTAGTTGGTCACCATGTTAGCAGCGGCGGGACCAGAATAATGCATCGATGATTGCAAAAACGTCACCAGATTTGTGGCATTTGAAGAAAACACCATATTCTCCAAGGCTTCTGTCACTGCTTACACAAACAAAAATAGAAGGGAAGGGTCATTCTTTAACTTGTGTGTACATAGAATTGTGCTTGGCTGTGGATGAATGGTTATGGTGATTACAATTCCAACACTAAGAGTTCCTAGAGAATAGAGAGAGAAATTGTGAAATTGCTTCCCGAAGGCATTTTCAGTTCTAACGAATGAATGTGTATAGTGTGGTCCTGTAGGAACATATCATAATGTTGTTATGCTTCTCAAGCAGCTAGTTAGGGAGGTTGTTTATGTCAAAGTTGGAAATAATCTTTGATTCAAGTTCAAGAGAAAGAAAAACGACCTTCCGTTCTTAATGTTGGACATCAGACCTGGTTTTCAATGGTTTGAAATTATTTGAAAAGTATGCAAGAATGAAGAGATTGAAAATTTTAGCACTTAAGCGAGAGAAACTCAAGATATCTATGGTAAAGTTCTAATGTTTTATGTTATGGCTTGTATATGGCCCTTAACCTTAAATAATAGCAGCAGTGCCCCTCTTCAAACCATGCCTAAGATGCAATTTTGGTGTCAAAGAGCCTTGCCATAGCCTGAAAATCTATTTTTTCAATGTAGATCAAATAAATCCATAAAAAGCTTGAAAATCATGAAAATGGACACTTCAAATAGTGCTTTACAATATACATCTTGAGATCGAGATGATCAAACGGAGGGTTTTTTAGAGTTGGAACAATCTTTTCAAGTGGGTCTTTGAGGTGTATCACTTATATGGTATAAGGTTGATGCCCTATAGAAATGTTTTCCATATATGTCTGTACCTTTAGTTTTCATGTAATATAATGGAAAATGGTCATTTTAGTGTTGAAAAAAGTGTGTTTGCTAAGGGAAATTAAGCCTTATTCAGTTGAAAATCTCAAAATTATGTCAAAAATCTAGAAGAATGAAGAGAGAAATCTAGAAGACTAAAGAGAGACAACTAAAAGATTTTCAAAATCAAGTTAATGAAATGAAATGAAACTCTAATGTAATTCTTGCGTCCTTACATAGGCCCAAGAAAAAGGACCTGTAAATGATGAAGAGAAGCGATGGCTGTCGAATTAGTCTATAAAACATATCCAACAGTGAAATTTTGGCATTATAAGGTTCAAAAGAAAATGTTGTAGTAGCAATATAGATTTTTCATATTCTAGCTAATGAATGTGTATAGACTGGTCCTGCAAGACCATAGCAAACTAGCATACTTTGTTCTACTGCTCAAGTTGTTTATGTCAAAGATGGAAATAATCTTTGATTCAAGTTCAAGAGAAAGAAAATGACTTTCCCTTCTTAATGTTGAACATCAAATACAATCTGTAAGTGTTAGGACTCGAGAGAGAGGGTCAAGGTTTCTATTGTGCAGTTCTAATGTTTTCCCACATTCATTAGAGCCCTAGATAAGTCTTCTAAAAAATGAATAGAGGGCTCTAGAATTAGTCTACAAGCATCACCAAGGGTATATATATGGGGTATGGTTTGTATAAGGCCTCACACTTAAAGAATAGAAGTAATGTGCACCTTCAAACCATGCTCACGGATGCAATTTTAGTGCTGCAAAGCCTTGCTAAAATCTATTTTTTTCATAATTATAAAATTTAAAGATTCAGACTTGGTGCAGATCAAATAAATCTACAAAAAGCTTGAAAATCATGAAAACGAACACTCCCAATAATGCATTACAAGATGCACTATTGTAATGCAAGATGTATCTTGCGCTATTAGATATATCTATACATCTTGAGGTCTAGATGATCAAATAGAGGATTTTCTAGAGTTGGGACAACCTTTTCAAGTGGGTTTTTGAGTTGTGTGCTACTTCTACAGTATAAGGTTGACACCTTATATAAATTCCTTTATATACGTGCATACCTTTATGTTTTCAAGTAATATTGTCGGAAATCGGCATTCTAGTGTTCAAAAGAGTGTGTTGCTAAGGGAAATTAAACCTTAATCAGTTGAAAATCTCAAAATTATCTTAAAAGTCTCAAAATTATCTTAATTTATCAACGTGTTAATGAAGTTAACTTGAGATGATTATAGTAGCCAATACATTAGTGAACATGGGATTCTCAATACAGTGCATATCTAGGAGTGGATGATGCAGGACAGGATGATTCATACTTATACATTTTTCTATCAAATTTTAAGATGTATCCTAGGGACTATTAGTTTAGACTTATTTTAATTTTCTAGGATTTTAGGGGCAAGTTAGTTAGACTGGTTGTCTTTTGTAATTATTTATTTTGTTGGGAGTAAAATTGTCATTACAAAATAATTATCAAACTCTCAAGTGAATGGTGATCATCAATATGTTTTTCTATCCGCTGATATAACCTCACATATAATGAGAGTCTTTTGCCTTTGTCATTACATAATGGTGACCATCAATATGTTTTAGATGCGTTTTATAGTCATGCTTTGAAACATATTATAACAAATTTCCAACAAAGACCATGAGAAGATTTTGGTTTTTCTATCACCATTATCATTTTAATTTTTTTTAATTAATTGGGGTTGACCAAATGAATCATGGTTCTTCATTCTACTATATTAAAGGTCATATCAGCACCATTTCTTTTCGGATTACTTCCAACCACATCCTTTTGGACCTACCCCTTGCCCTTTTCAATCCTTCTACTTGAACTAACTCACATCTTCTAATAGATGTATTTGGTTGGCACCACACATGGTTAACCCACCTAAATCTACTATCTCTTATTTTATTGCCTATTGGTGTCAAGCCTAAATTCTCTCGAATAGATTAAATTCGAATTATATCACTTCTTATCTTGCCACTTATCCATCTCAACATCCTCATCGCTGCTACACTAATTTTATGAGTATATTGTTTTTTGTCCGTCAACATTCCACCCCATAGAGCAAAGGTCTCATCGTTGTCCTATAGAACTTGACATTTAGCTTCATTGGTATGCGGTGATTACATAAAATTCTAGTTGCATATCTACACTTTGCCCATCAGCTCTATTTCTGGGTGCGACATTTTCCTCGATCTCTCCATTTTCTTGGATTATCGACCCAAGATATTGAAAATGCGGTTTTTTGGAATTTCTAACCGTTAATCTTAACTGCTTCCTTGTCTATACTCCTATAATTAAATTTGTACTCCATATACTCTATTTTAGTCCGACTAATTTTAAAACTTTTGGATTCAAAATCATCCCTCCAAAGTTCTAACTTTGTGTTAATATCGTTTCCGGTTTCATCAATCAAAACTATGTCATCTACGAACAACATGCACCATGGTTTCTCATCCTGTAGGTGCTTAGTTAAGTCATCCATAACTAAGACAAAGAGGTACGAGTTCAATGCTGACCCTTGATGTAGACGTATTATTACTGAAAACTCACTCATCTCTCCACTAGTTATTCGTATATTAGTTAGCACTTCTTCGTAAATTAGTTAGCACTTCTTCGTACATATCTCCCACCAAGTCAATGTAGTGTCTAGAGAAGCCTTTCTTTTTCAACACCCGTCAAATCAAATATCGAGGTACTCTATCATAAGCTTTCTCTAGGGCAATAAAGACCATATGGTAGTCTTTCCCTTTCGCCCTAAACTTCTCAATCAGTTGCCTAAGAAGGAAAATAGCCTCAGTTGTTGACCTTCTTGGCATAAAACCAAAATGATTTTCAAATACACTCGTTTCATGTCTTAGTCGCTCAGTCACTCTATCCCAGAGCTTTATAGTATGGCTCATAAGCTTAATCTCTCGATAGTTCACATAATTCTGTATGTTTCCTTTGTTCTTGTAAATAGGTACCATAATACTTTTTCTCCATTAGTCTTTATGTAATGATAGAAATACCAATTTGATCGGCCATGTTAATGTGACCAAAACAAAATATTTCTATTGAATATTCAAAATGATTTTATTTTTTTTTAAATTCCTTAATATTTTGATTTATGAAAATTTTGATTATAGCAATTGAGGTTTGGGCATCTTAGCTTAAATGGATTGTATTTACTATCAAACACTAGGGTTGGCAATGGACCCGTCCAGACCCGGGATCCGACGGATAGACCTGACCTCAGGCCTAGGTATGAGTCCAAATTTTGGACCCGAAAAGTCGGGTTTGGGTCTAAAACCTTAGCCCAAATACTATTTGGGGCTGGGTCCAGCCGTACCCAACCTGAATAATATGGGTATATGTTTTATGGGTTTCATAAATGTTGCCGATACATTTGCTTCCTAAAAATTTCCAGTTATTACATAAAAACAGTAAGGAATGTGGGTATATGTGGGTATCCATAAATGTTATGCAATAGTGTAAATGATGCAAATAATATAGGTATATGATGGTAAGAAAAAAAAAAAGGGGGGAAGATGAAGCTCAGAGTCATAGGGTGGCAATAGACCCAGACCAGGGACCCGACTGGTCCAAATATGGGGCCAATTTTTGGACTCGAAAGGTTAGGTCCGGTTTTTAAACCTGGACTTGAATGCTATTTGGATTTGAGTCTAATCAGACCCCACTCGTTGCCACCCCTATCAAATACAAAGACGATGAATGCTTGCCAAAAATAAAGCATCAAAACCAAGAGTCCAACGAACGTGTTCATGGAAAGAGACACCCAAAAGTGGAATCCATTCGGAGAATCATGTAGAGCCACAAACCATTGCATTTGTTCCACTAAGAAATTGCATGACCGTTTCGGTTTTATCAAAGGACATGCTTAGCATGCAGCCAAGTCCGCAAATGTACAAATGTGGGCTTGGCAATAAATATAGTTTTAAATATAATTTTATTCTAATTTTTAAAGAATATATAATTTTTAACATAAAGATCAGAACTTTGAAAAAATAAATAATAATTATATTAAGAAAACATTTGGACTGTTAATTACAATTATGTTTAGATGGACCATCTAGTTGCATCTATCTTTAAAATGGATGCTTTATACCTCTGAATTGTATATTGTACGCCCAGATCGCATGAAACAATTGTTCCTTATCAAATAGTACAAGTAAGTATTT